GAGCAGGTGACACTGACATGGAAATGTTGCTGGGTTCGCGATGAACCCAGGCGCCTGGGTTCATCGCGAACCATCGAGCTGGGTTGGTCATGAACTCGCGAGCTGGGTTCCTCGCGAACCCAAGCTCTTGGGTTCGCCTGGAGGCAAAAGGGAAAAAAAAAAAAAAAAAAAAAAAAAAGGCCGGAGGAAGTGGGGAGTGACATGGAGGGTGACGTGGAAGGTGTCATTAAGTCCACGTAAGCATATCTTACACGTTGGCATACCCACGTCATCTGTTCCAGTTAAGTTAACGTGACACGTGAGCAAAAATTAACGGAAGGACCAAAAAGGGGCCGGATTTATGAACAGTAAGGACCAAAAAGGGAATTTTCTCGGTACAGGGACCAAAAGGGGGCTTTTTCCTATAGTAGAGGGACCAAAAAGGGTATTTAACCTAAAATAAAAAACTCTTTTTTTAATCTCACAGCAAGAAGATGATACGTAAATTTGAACACTTTCAGGCCACTTTAGAAATCTCGCCGAGGTTTCGTAACGCCTCAACGTACAAATCTGCATGAATTTTGCGCAAGACCAAATCCCGAAGAGAGCAACTCCATACAGTCTGATCCGAGCAGTCATAGGGTAGGAATGAGGATTAATCAAAATCAAGAGTCCTCACCCAATTCGCCACGTTGATGGCACTGATTCTGCCACCTCTTATTATCCAATTCGGACGGCCTTGATTATTGATCATCAGTACGCTGGCACCCTTTTGCTTATGAAAGCGGCAAAGCTAACTATTCTTTCCCTGCTTCAACAAAGTTCCCTCCTTTTTTAGTTTTTTTCCTCCTCAAGTTTCAGTTGAGACAACAAGGAAGGGATCTCTGGAACGTTAGCTCAAAGTAAAGAATTCTTGTAACAAGCATAACTTCTGGATTCCCCTTACTGTTTAGGAAGTTTCATGAATTTTGCTTCAACTTCATGTTATGAGATATATGGGTTTTCTTTGTTTCTTTGATGGAGCTTGACTTCATGCTTAGTTTTGGCATTCTCTGTGTGGGTTAAGGTTGGGAAATTAGACATTTAAAGCCTCCTGAAAATGGGGTTCAATGTATAAAGTTGAGTTCTTGTTTTGGTTTTAGTATTTAAAATCTCAGCTTTGGTGTGTGTTTTGGTGAATTTTTAAGTGTTTTATTTCATTGGAATTGTGTTAGAGTCGAATAATGTGGATTTTTTTATTTTTATTCTGTTCGTCTGATTAAGTGGAGAGATTAATGTGGGTGATAATAATCAGGGAAATTT